GGAAGGAGAGAGAGAGAAGAGAGAGAGAGAAAGGAAGGAAGAAAGAAAGAAAGAAAGAAAGAAAGAAAGAAAGAAAGAAAGAAAGAAAGAAAGAAGAGAGGGAGGGAGAGAAGGAATGATAACTACAATCATGGATTTTGATATCACAATAATAATATTGATCATACTTAGAGATGTTTCCTTGACATCAAGGGACATAGCTATAATTAATTTAAGAGTCCTTGATTTCCCTGAGTCTATTTGAAGGATAATTAACTTCAATTTGGATCAGCTTTTGTGTGTTCTGGAATAACTTCCACTTAAAAATGTGTATCTGCATAGAATTGCCAACTTTCCGTTGACATTTTTGAAGTGGAATGCTTTGTTAAAATTATTTGAGATTCACGGAGTTGCTATGTTCACTTTTTCCATGACATGCACAATCCTTTACGTCTCACCTATGTTCCCACATTGGATTTTTATTATTTTTATTTTCTCAGTATTCCCTTTGGAATATTGGCTGCTCTCTTCAGTCCTGCCTTATTGCTGCAATCAAAGAACAGCTCATGGTCTGACCCCAGCCTCCACTTTCCGATTCCTTGACAATCTGGGACCACTTTGTCCAAATTTAATTTACAAAAAGCCCATTTCTTCCGCGCATTGTTTAAGACTTGGGGAAAGGAAGCTTGCAAGGTCAGAATGGATCGGAGCATTACAGTTTAAGCCTCCAGTGCTGATATTTAAAACGGCTGAATCATCTCCCACATTATTCCAAAAGAGTGCAATTCTGTATTAAAAAAAGAAAACTCCATCTCTAGGACATGCACCCAGTGGCCCTTAGAGACATAAATTCAGAGACACATATGTACAGCTAGTCCATAACTGAGTCCAAAATGTCTATTGCTATGCGAGATGGTTGTTAAGTGAGTTTTGCCCCATTTTACTATCTTTCTTGCCAAGGTTGTTAAGTGAATCACTGCAGTTTGTTTGTTTGCTTGTCAAACATATACAGGATAACAAGAATAGGGAAGAACATAAACATGAACAAAGGAAGTAAATCAAGATAAATTGGGACAGTAAGACAGGGATGGTAAGCATGTTGGTGTGCTTATGCACACCCAGGGGTGGGCCGCTATGCACTTGCCCAGGTTCAGGAGAACCCATAGCTAATGTTATGGCCGCTTCGGAGAACCTCAAAATCCCACCCCTGGCTGGCCCTGCCCATCCCCACCCCGCCCGTCCCAGGAGTTTCCACGCAGCCCATTTTGGATGCGAGATAAGTGTAGGGCCCATGCAGGGACTCTGGGAGGGGGGAAAACAGGCCTCCCGGAAGTTCCAGAAGACTGGAAACAGACCCATTTCCGGCCTCCGGAGGGCCTCCAGAGCCCAGGGGAGGCAAAAATGCCTCCCCCACTATGGTACACGAGGCACACTAGGCAACGCCCACCATGACCACGCCCACCCAGCAACTGGGCAGACAACCCATTGCTGAAATTTTTGAAGCCCACCCCTGTAGACGCCCCCTTCAAGGACCTCTTAAGAATGGGTTGAGGTCCACGGTAGACAGTTTGAGGTTGAGGCTGTGAGGGTTTGAGACTGTAACAACAGAGTTAGAGTATTCCAGGTGTTGACCACTCTGTTGCTGAAGTCGTATTTTCTGCAATCAAGTTTGGAGCAGTTTACCTTGAATTTGTATCGATTGCTTGCCCGTGTATTATTGTGTTTGAAGCTGAAGAAGTCGTCGATGGGCAAGATGTTGTAGCAGACAATTTTTTGCACTATACTCTTAAATCAGCCCTCAGGTGATGAAGTTCCAGATTGTTCAAGCCAAAATTTCAAGCCTGGTGACATTGGGAATTCGATTGTGAGTAGAGGAGTGGAGGACTCTTCTCATGAGATACCTCAATCGTGTTAATGTCCGATATACAGTGTGGGTTCCAGGAGGAGGAGCTGTATTCAAGAATTGGTTTGGCAAAGGTTTTGTATGCCCTAGTTAGCAATAAAGTGTTGCCAGAGAAGAAGCTTTGCAAAATTAGGCTACCAACTCTTAATGGCTTTTTGGCAATGCTGTTACATTGAACTTTGGGGCTTAGATGCCGAGGTGGTGCAGTGATTAGGGTGCAATACTGCAGGCCACTTCAGCTGACTGTTATCTGCAGTTCAGCGGTTC